TTGCGTTTGCTAAATGCATTTTTATAGCACGTTGCCTTGCATTCTTTTGCACAGCAAAAGGCAAAATCGCCTTTTTTGTTTACATTGCGGCACAAAGTGACATCTCGTAGTGCATTGTGCTGCATTTAAAGAAGATCTCTGGGCCTAAGGGGCTCCAATCTGTTTTACTTACCTGACCTAGGCTCCAGCGACTGTCGGCACTCACGTCTTGCCGCTTCCGCTCTGGCTATAGAATGTCCCTGGGCGTCCTCATGTCGAATGCAGGTCAGTGAAGCTGCGTAAGACGTGATAATGGCAACAGTCCTTGGCCCAGGGATGAAGAGGCTGTGAGGACCAGCCTGGCAGACAGGTATCGGGCCAGTAATTCTGCTTTATTCCAGCCCTAGACCAGTGGTAGGCAAACTTGGCACTCTAGCTGTAATGAAACTACAAATTCCATGATTCTTGATTCAAGTCATGCTTTGTCTTGCAATGCATTGTGGCACATGATGATCCACACCAGCTGGCACACTGAGGTTGCCTATCCCTGTCCTAGACTAAAATGACCACTTAACCCTTAGGTTAGCTCCTCTGCAAGGGTTTTTTTTTTTAATTGTCAAATTTCTTAAAGTAACATGCTCCCCTTTTTTTTATTACCCAGCTCACATGAATGCAGCACATTGGTGTCAACTGGGTTAATTGGAAACAATGGGTATCAGCTTGTCATTGCATCGGGCCTGTGTTGAGCAGTTGGCCCTAAAGTCCAACCATATTATTTTCATACTAGAGAGGTGAGGTTAGAACCTCTGTCTGATTTTATTTGCTGTGTCCCCGCTTGGAGAGGATTAACGTTCTGCCCTGGTGTCACCCAGACTGAAAGGAAAATCCAGAGATGTACTGAATGTAGGTTTTATTTAATTATTTTATTTTGCCCCCCTGATCCACTTTAATTATACTGATCCCTTAAGGGCACCCAGACACGCACAGATGTGCAGCTTCGGTTAGCGTATGACGGCGTACGGGAAGAACAGGCTGCTGCGTACAATCACACGCATCACCTGTCCTTCCCGGGAACGGCCCGGGAACGGCCACGCTCTAGGCTGTTTGAATCCTAAAGAAGAACTGTGGTCCCCGATTAAAAAAAAAAAAATGTGCTGCTGCACTCAATTAAGTGTATCTGCACTTAGTTTTCTTAGCGCCCCTGCAAATTCCAAGAAATACTTGTTGATCCTGCCAGTAAGGGCCACCTAATGCAGCTTCCTGTAGTGATGTGGCAACGATGCTGCACTGCTCTGGGAATTCAGAGCAGAGTCGTCACTCATGTAGGCTGTGCCTGCTTTGTACTATCAACATTGCCACTGCTGAGTCACATGCCTATAGCTTGTCATTCAGCACCTGGCAACACCTAAACCCGCCCACTGCTTTCTGGATTGACAGCATTGCCTCTGTTGCTCTAACCTTCCCACTGTGAGCTGCAGTGTCTGGGAGGGGGAGTATGTGAGACACAAATGGAGGATTTGGCTCAGAGAAGGTAAAGGAAATTGTTTTGGCTTGTGGATCACATAGTAACTGGATTTGGCACTTTTTTTGACTGTCATACAGGAGCCTTTAGTTACAAGAAACCTGTACTGATAAATGATGTTGGTTACCATTGCTAAACTACTTCTGAACATGTTAGTTGCCCAACTGTCCCTAAATTTCTGAGTAGCTAACCTTGAACACCCATGAAGCACATCAAGTGCAATGTCAAAACAACTGATCTACATACTCACTCCAGCTCAGAGACTGCATCCACTAAATCCACCACATCTACGTTCCAGCCAAGCAACTAGCTTTTTGTGGAAACAGCGTCATAGTTCTGTCAACACCGGGTTCCCCTAAAGTGCAAATACATTTCCTCCTCCTACCCTCATGTAACCTACAATCCCTCCACTTGAAGTGCTTGCACCCCAAACTCTTCTCTGCCACTGCATGCTCAGTAACTCCCCATAGACTTGGACGGGTCCATCCTCCTAGCTTCTCTACTGTAAAAGTATGTTCAAGTGGAGGAGGGTGTTTTGTGTTTTTTTTTCCAGTGAAGTGTAGTTGTCCTTTAAGAAACGGTTCAGTGGTTAGATGACTAAGGAGTATCATCAGCAACCGTTTATTTCTAGTTATATGGAGGTTCCATAGCAACACTGTGTTGTCATTGAGCTTTGCGGTTATTTTGACTAATCTGAGAACGAAATCATCTAACCTGTCACTGGCTCTTAGGATTTCCAGAACAGAGAAAGACCAGATATGATTTTTTTTTTCCAAGAGCCTGTCCTGCAGATTGCAGGCAGAAAGACTTGTTCTATTCTATTTTATCTTTTCATTTTATGTGTGTGTGTTTATGTATTATATGCTATTTTGGACCAAATGTCCTCCTAGTGCACCCTTCTCCTTGGATCTGTAGTTAAAGTGCATGCTAACCTTTTTCAGGTTTGCTTTTGGATAGGGTACTCTCTCTCTCTCCCTCTCTCCCTCCCTCCGTTTCGAATTTCTACTGGTTCTTGATGACTCGGCTGAAATTTGCACAGTGAGTGCCGCTGTCGACCTGGCATCCCTCAATCGGCTGTTTGAACGAGTAGGTTGGAAAATTCTTGGCCGTGCACAGCTACCAGCCAATCGTCCGATGGCGGCTGTCAGAATATAAAGGAAACCGTGGTGATTCCTCAATCAAAGCTTATAAGTGTTTACAGAGGAATTGGTTCTATTTGAACAAAAAGAATAGAACCCTCTTTACCCGACTTAAAAGTTCCCTTGACCCCTGTCTAAGATGGAAATTCCCCTCACTTTTATGGAGATTGCCTCTCATTTCCTGTTCTGTCTTCAGAACAGGAAGTGAAGGCAATTCTCCCATAGCAGCAGACAGACATCAACAACACGATAATGGTTTTTCACTGTTTCCCACTGTATCCAAAACACTAAAAAAAAAAATTGGTTTTATGCACAGCTTAATGATCCAAGTGCTTTGGTCCCCTCCATGTAAAGCACATTCTTTTCTTCCTTTTCGTCCTCGTACCTATATACTGTTTTGATGTGAAATAGTAAAGTGTGATGACGGGAATGCTTTATGTATATTTATCTGTAAAAAGTAAGTGAAGGCAACTGGACATGCTGTATTTTTCTTGAAAGCATTTCACTGGACATCTTGGTCTTCAAGAAAAATTACAGCAAGTCCAGTTGCCTTCACTTATTTTTTTTTTGCAGATATACCATGACCTTGATGAATAAGAACCTTCACAGACATGTTCACAGAGATTTGTTATCTAGGATGTTCTAAATGACTCGTATTCTTTTGCAGAAGGATGATCTTGAACTGATATCTTTATATCAAAGATCAAAAAGTCACACATTTTACTTCCTCAGTCGCCACAGAGCTGACATATTGCAATTCCTGGACCTCATAAAGTTGCCTTTCTCAACTTTTTTTTTTTTTAGCACAAGGAACCCTTGATATAAATTTCTGTTTTCAGATAACCCCCTGCTGGTAACTACTTCTACCGCTAGTTTATGGTACGCTGTCCGATGGACAATGGGGAGAATGCTCCTTACATTTTTGGTCAGTTGGAAGAATTTAGCCTTACAGACAGCTAAAAATATATGGTTGCTTATCTGAGAGAAATCGATCATTGCTCAAGGATCCCCTAGCGACCTCTGAGGGAACCTGAGGTTTTCACAGAAGGTTGGTTAAGAAAGACTGACCTAGAGCTTAGGTATTGCATAGGTACCAGAGAAAGCCTAGAGCTCAACTGCTGGAGCCCTCCGGCACTGACAAAAATGGAGCACTGACAATATTGTTTGAGTACTGTCCATACAGTGTATGATGGTGTCAAAGTGACTCGCCCTTTATCGGATGGGCTCAGTCCAAGGTTATAATTAGTAGGGATGCACCAATACCATTTTTTTTTTGGTATCGAGTACCGATATTTTTTTCGCTACTTTCAGATACCGGAACTCCCAATAGGGAAGCCAGGCAGTGTGTAATGACTCGCACGCCCGGCTTCCTGATTAGCCAGGACGCTAGCTCAATGCTCCCTTGTCACCAGGTGACGTGGAAGCATGGAGCTGGCTTTCTGGCCAATCCAAGTCATTACACGCTGTCCGACTTTCAAATTGGCCGGGAAGGCGGCTCCATGCTCCCTCGTCACTAGTATGGAGCCGGCTTCCCGGCCAATCAGGAAGCCAACTCCATGCTACCTGCTGACTAGGGAGCATGGAGGTGGCTTCCCAAACCAATCACGAAGCCGGGCGGTGTGTAATGACTCGTCGCACGGCTTCCTGATACCGGAGGTTTCGGTATCTGGAGCATTTGGGTGAGTAAAAGTATCAGTGCATCCCTAATAATTACTCAAGGCAGCCGCTGCTGTTCTGTTGCTTTAGGTAACCGCTAGTACTCTGAGAATCCTTTTGTCACGTATTTAATGTTTGTAAAACAGACTGTTTGCCTGTATACGTATAAGGGCTTATGTAGCTGACATCGTTATGACCCTCTGCTTTTGCACTGCTCAAACACATGAGTGAGAACCCAAAAAGCAGCATTTCATTTGCTTTACTTGCATGGCAATCGCTCAGTAGGCAGTGCTGTGACCAAAGAGATGCAAAGCTGGTCAAATGCACCCTCAGAATTATATAATTTATTTTATGTACATTTTTTATATAGACAACAGATTTAAAAAATGTATATACTGAAATAAAATTGACCCAAAACTATCATCGTTTCCCTTTTTGAAGTGCTAATGGTTTGCCTCTAGCGATTTTAAGTCTGGATGTAAATTTGTGTGGCTGTACCAAATTTAACCGCCCTGTCTGTTTAAGCAGGTGGCCTTACGCCAGCTGTGTTTTTCTGTTGTCTCTCTGGAAAATGAAGCAATGTCCGTTTCCTTGCCAGCATGTTCAGCTTGGCCTGATTTGGCTTTCAGAGTCTGTATATTTTCTATTGAATTTGCGCATTGTAACGCACACTAATCATTTTTCATCTTCTCTGTTTTTTTCAGAACTATGACACTCGTAACCGGATCATTTCTGGATGCCTTTCAGAAAATAGCAGATATGGCCATTAACACCAGAGGTAATTATTTTGTATTCTGCCTTATTTTCAGAGTGCACTGGCATCTTCCAGATCAGAATTAGGAACTTTCTGCAAACTTGGCACACATTGCCCACACATTGGTTTTTATTTAAAGGAACTTGCAGTGGGGAAGTATGGAGGCCGCCATGCCTGAACCCCCCTCCTTCCTTCTGAATGTAGAGTTCCTTGGCTATCATGCTGATCCAGTGGTTTCAGTACTTCCTAGGTTATAGACTCGGCAAGGTCAGGAGTTCTTCTGACTGTACACAGACTCTGGTCTGCATGCTTAATCCAGTAAAGTCTCAAGGTATTGAGTCCACAGGCAGTCAGGCAACTAGATTATAACTTTGGCCTCCATATTTTTTCTGCATGATTCCTTTAACCCTTTCGCTGCCAAGCCCTCCGGAACATTCTTCAAATCAGCTGGCCAAGCCATTTTTGAATTTTCTGCAATTTTTTCCTATTGGTTTGATTTTTAACTGCTGCGTTGCTAGCGTTTGTAAAAGACCCCCCAAACCATATATTTTCTGAAAGCGCAGGCCCGGTAGAATAAAAAGATGGTGATACTAAATTTGTAGGCCCTGCGATAATTGCGCAAATGTTTCTCAAATTAATATTAAACCGATAAAAATACACAATTCAATTGTTAAAACACACCAAAATCAGTATCCGTGCACAAAAAAAATAATTTTCTGACTAAATCTAAAAGATAAAACTGTATTGAGTTAATAAATAACAAATATTAGCAAATTTGTAATTGCGCCTTTTTGCGAAAAGGTAAAAAAATGAAGGTATGCAAAACTGTAAATAATCGACTTATGTAAAAAATTGTTTTGGTGTTTGTGTTGTGATAAAATGATACAGGTGTATATTTAATTGCAACACAAGGTATCACAACGCATGGCAATGAGTCACAAAGCTTTGCCATGCGCTGCCACAGTTAATTTAATGTTTTTTTTTAAAGAAAAAAAATAAATAAAAAAGATCATGCACTGCGATGCGTTCTAACAACGCACTGCAGCGCATGTGCATGGTGTGCACCACAATATGTGTGTGTTATGTGGGGGGAGGGAGGGGTTGTGCTTTTTTTTATTAGTTTTTTTTTTTTTACACATTTTTTATTTTTTTTAAATAATTTTATTTTGTTTTACATTTTTTTATTTTAATTTTTTTAACATTTTTTATTTATTTTTTAATAATTTTGTATTTATTTTTTTTACTGTTGGGGGGGCTACGGTGAAATCTCTGGGGTCTAAACAGACCCCTGACATTTCCCTTTTGAAATAGAAAAAGAAATTGAGGACACCAAATCCTCAATTTATTTTTCTGCAGCCTCAGCACTCAATGAATGGGAAGCACTCAGTACAGAGGCTTCCCATTCCATTCAGAAACTGCTGATAGTAAAATATTTACTATCAAGCAGTTTATGAATGGGGAGAAGCCTCCATAGGGAGTGCTACTCCCCATTCAGAAATTCATGAATGAACAGGCTGTGATGTAAATCACAGCCTGTTCATTCATAACTGGGGACACATAGTACTATGGGGGTTATTCACAAAGCTGCCGAAGGATCTAGCCATAGCTTCGGCTGATCCTTCGGCTAGCTTCGGCCCCAGGACCCCTTCGGTTGAGTAGAACTGAAGGGCTGCTGTACGGGCTATTCACTTGAGCCCGTACAGCTCCCGAAGTTGGCCGAGCGGCTCAGTCGAGCTGAAGGCATATGCTTCGGCTCGACTGAGCCGAGGTGAAAGCCGAAGCTGGAATGGCTGGCCGACAACCTGCTACTGACAGCTTGGCGGAGCCAGCCATCATCTCACGGTTGGCTCCGGCCACTTGCATGCAGAGACAGATCAGCGTCCCCTGGTTAGCAGCTAACCACGGACGCTGATGTGTCATTACACTGAGAACCCGGCGGAGCCGCTGTGATATCACGGCGGCTCCGCCAGGTTCTCAGTGTGTAATGACAGTTCAGCATCTCCTGGTTATCTAGTAACCAGGGGACGCTGGACTGTCATTACACACTGAGAACCCGGCGGAGCCACCATATCACGGCGGCTCCGCCGGGTTCTCAGTGTGTAATGACAGTTCAGCATCTCCTGGTTACCTAGTAACCAGGGGACGCTGGACTGCCATTACACACTGAGAACCTGGCGGAACCGCCATTATATCCCAGCGGCTCTGCCGGGTTCTCAGTGTGCAATGACAGTTCAGCATCTCCTGGTTACCTAGTAACCAGGCACCCTGGACTGTCATGAGAGCTTGTCGGAGCCGGCTTTGATATGACCGCCGGTTCCGACAAGCTCTCATTTTAATGACAACTGGTCCCGTGCAATAGAAAAAGTTTGGCGGAGCTAGCTGTCACTGCTAGCTCCGCCCAATCATTTTCTCATTTTTCTCTACTTTTTCTATTCTGCTCGGTACCACAGAGGTACCGAGCAGAATAGAATAACTGAGCCGAAGGGCGCTCTCCGGCATTCGGCTATTCACTCACTGCTGTTTGGGCCCTATGAGAATAGGCCGAACAGCAACGAGTAGCCTGCCGGAGGTTCGGCTAAGCCGATCCAGATGTTGGATTAGCTGAGTCAAACTCCTTCTGCACTTCGGCCGACCCAAACCCAGCCGCAGCAAGCCGTTGTACGGCTGATTTCAGTCGGTGTACGGCTGAAATCAGCTGTACAAGCCTGAAGTGAATAGCCGAACGGCGTTCGGCTCACTTCACTTCGTGTTGGTTATTCACACGGCTGCCTTCGGCAGCTTTGTGAATAACCCCCTATGTGTCCCCAGTTATTTACAAACACCGGAGTGATCACGCGATCACTCCGGTGTTTGTGCTGCACAGAGGATCGGTAAATATCAATGATACTTATCGATCCTCCGTACGGCCACGCACAGAGCCGCTGTCATCCGGAAACTGACATGATGACAGCGGCTCCGTTCTCCTCACCGCTCAGCCATCCTGAAACTTGTGGCTTCTCCCCGCCAGCCGACGCTTGCTGCTCCGCGCCTCACCCCCCAACCCTGGAGATTTTTTTTATCCCCGTTGCCACAGCCCCTACAAGCGGGGGTCAGCAGCGGGGATCCATGGAGTCACAGATCCCTGCCTGGAGCGGCTCCAGGCAGGGATGAGAGGCTCCAGATGCCGCCAACTTTTCCCATTGATTTGATTTTCAACTGCTGCGTTACTAGCGTTTGTAAAAGACCCCCCAAACCATATATTTTCTGAAAGCGCAGGCCCGGTAGAATAAAAAGCTGGTGATACTAAATTTGTAGGCCCTGCGATAATTGCGCAAATGTTTCTCAAATTAATATTAAACCGATAAAAATACACAATTCAATTGATAAAACACACTAAAATCAGTATCAGCGCACAAAAAATAATAATTTTCTGACTAAATCTAAAAGATAAAACTGTATTGAGTTAATAAATAACAAATATTTGCAAATTTGAAATTGCGCCTTTTTGCGAAAAGGTAAAAAAATTACGGTACGCAAAACTGTAAATAAGCAACTTATGTTAAAAAAAAATGTCACGCTGTGTTGGTGTTTGTGTTGTGATAAAATGATACAGGCGTATATTTATTGCAACACAAAGATCACAACGCATGGCAATGCGTCACAAAGCTTTGCCATGCGCTGCCACAGTTAATTTAATTTTTTTTTAAAGAAAAAAATACATTAAAAAAATCATGCACTGCGATGCGTTCTAACAACGCACTGCAGCGCATGTGCATGGCGTACACCTCAATATGTGTATGTTATGTGGGGGGAGGGAGGGGTTGTGCTTTTTTTTATTATTTTTTTTGTACACATTTTTTTATTTTATTTTTTTTTTACATTTTTATTTTTTTTCTTTTTTATTTTTTTACATTTTCTATTTATTTTTTAATAATTTTTTATTTTTATTTTTTTACTGTTGGGGGGGCTGCGGCGAAATATCTGGGGTCTAAATAGACCCCTGACATTTCCCTTTTGAAATAGAAAAAGAAATTGAGGACATAAGTCCTCAATTTCTTTTTCTGCAGCCCCAGCACTCAATGAATGAGAAGCCTCAGTACAGAGGCTTCTCATTCATTCACAAACTAATGATAGTAAAAATATTTTACTATCATTAGTTTCTGAATGGGGAGGAGCCTCTGTAGTGAGTGCTAGTCCCCATTCATAAATTCTTGAATGAACAGGCTGTGATGTAGATCGCAGCCTGTTCATTCATAACTGGGGACACATAGTACTATGTGTCCCCAGTTATTTACAAACACCGGAGTGATCAGACGATCACTCCGGTGTTTGCTCTGCACAGAGGGATCGTTAAATATCATTGATATTTAACGATCCCCCGCTCGGCCACGCTACACAGAGCCGCTGTCATCCAAAAACTGACAGGATGACAGCGGCTCGGATCGGAACACCGCTCGGCCATCCTGAATTGCGGCCAGCCGCCGCTCGTTCCCGGGACCCCCCCGACCCCCCCGCCGGTGATTTTTGTACGGATCCCCGCTGCCACAGACCCTACAAGCAGTGGGGATCCATGGAGTCTCTCATCCCTCCCTGGGATGGCTCCAGGGAGGGATGAGAGACTCCAGATGCCGGCGGCCGGCAGCGGCGGTGCCGGCGGGGGGGGCCCGGTATTTTTGATAATAGCAGTCATCAGCGGCTTGTGAGCCGCTGATGACAGCTATTAATTTAAAGGGGACAGTCTGCTGAACAGTTCTACTATAAGCTGATGGTCGCTAAAGCGACCATCAACTTATAGTAGAACTGTAAATGCCAGGTCCGTACGACGTACTGAGCTGGCCAGCTGGAAGCACTTTTGTAGCTCCGTACGACGTACGTCCTTGGCAGCGAAAGGGTTAAAGTCTATCCCACCTCCAACCTAACCACTCAACCATCACATTCTCAAACAATTCATCCCCACCCATCTTCCTCCTCATGTATCACTGGCCCCTCCCTTTTAGAATGTAAGCCCTCAGGGTCCTCCTTATCCATCTTGTCCTAAATTGTAT